GTAAAACCAGCAATGAAAGCTGCGACTGGTAAACGATTATTAGAGTCTGAAGAATTCCGAACGCTTTTGGCTGAAGTAAAAAAGGTAGTCAATTCTAGGCCTCTGACTTATGTGTACAATGAACCAGGGGATAATGTCGAAGTTCTTACCCCAATGAAAGCAATTCAACCTAATCGAAATAAAGAAAACTTTGATATAGATTTTGAAAGAGAAAGAAGTTGTGAAAGAGAGAAACCAGAAGAAAAATTAACCCGCATATGGAAAAATTCTAGAGAAGCGGTTGAAATGTTTTGGAAGCGTTGGAATAAAGAGTACTTGCAATATCTACGCGAGCGGGCCGACAAATACAAACACAATAAAGGAAAAAATTATGTCCCTGAAAAGGGAGAAATTGTTCTTTTACAGGATAAATCATTGCCAAAAAATTTATGGAATTTAGCCAAAATAATTGAAACAATAAAAGGAAAAGACAATATTGTAAGAGTAGCCAAAGTTCTATGTAAAGGAAAAATATTAACTAGGGCCATAGATTTGTTGTATCCACTCGAACTTAAGGCCGAATGCGAAGAAAAAATAATTGATAAAAATCAAAAAATAGGGACTAAAATGCACGAAATGAAATTAAGGACTAGAAAAAAGATAAATTATAAAGAGAGCGATTTAGAAAGTGACGTGTCAAGTGAAATAGAAATGAATCTTTGCCCATTCCTTTACGAAAGACGAAATTTCACCCCGCCAAAAATTGAAAGAATTGATCCAAATAAAAATAGAATATTTACAAATAAACAAAAATTTAATTGGGAAAAAGAAGGGCAGAGTTTAGCTAGTAAAATACAAGAGGAAATAAAAGAGATACCCGAAATTGAAAGTAAATTGGAGTCAATAACTGAAGAAATATATGGGATAAAAAATAAAATAAATTTAATTGAACCATTAAAAGAGGAAATAAATAAATTAAAATTGGAAAATAATAATTTAAAACAAGATTATGACAATTTAAAAATATTAGCGGAAAGAAACAGAAATGATATGAATAGGTTAATTGCGGATATTTATAAGTCGCCAGAAAAGATGAATACAAAATGCCAAAACTCGAAAAAACAAAATTCCCGCAAAAATTCAAAAAATAAATTCCTGAACACTTCTGTCTTTTTAATGTCTCTGGTACTAATTCTTTTTATATTAATGGGGAGAAGCGTTGGAGCACCGTGCCAAAAAGGACAAAGGAATGTTTTAGTCAAGTCGCAAACGTGCGCAACCAACGGGTTAAAAATAATGAAAGCACCCGATGGGAATTTTTGTTGGGAAATAATTAATTGTGATTATTCTAAAAAGGAACATTTTGAGTCTGAAAACTGTAATGTACCTTGTAAATGCCCACAATGGACCGAAACATGTTCCTTTTATAATGGCCCCAGTACTAAAAATTCAACAATAAAAAATAAAAATGTTCAAAAGATTTTGGAAAGTTTGGCTTTAGAAAAATGTGAGAAAATTGAAAATTGTGGGCCCCTAAAATTAATAGAAGTGAATCAAATACAATTATTTGACAATTCTCTCCATATAATAAAGGAAATGAAAATTGAAGAAAAACAAGCACTACCCGAAGAATATGAATGTATAGGAACCGGACCCATTACAGGCTCCCCTAAATATTGTTTAGACCATATCTGTGAGCTACATGGAACAAAATTTTGTTATTACCCAGGAAATGAAATTTCTCTCCTAGTAAATGATAATGGAAATATAGCTTTGAAGGCTTGGGGTCGTGTAAAAATAAAAGTTAGGGGATTTCTTGAAAGAAAAGAAAATTTAAAATGTGAAAAATGTCATGTTGAATGTCACAAAGAGGGAGTAAAAATATTTTCACAAGAAGAGATAGGAAGTGTAGAGATATGTGTAAAAAATGATCGATGCGCGCTCTTTCCCCACCCAAAATTGGAAGAATTAATTCCATTATCAAAAGAAATATTGGTTTCAAATTATGAAATTAAAATTAAATTTTGGAGATACGGAGAATTAGTAAAAGAATCTGGGATAAATTGTGAAGCTAAAGTAATTTGTGAAATTATAAAATGTAATATTTGTATAGAATTGCTTAAAAATCCACAATGTGCTTCAAAAACTGCTATAATATTGTTCGCAATAATTTTCTATATATTCTTTTCAATAATAATGACTGTTTTTCGTGTGATTGTGTTTGGATTCAGAGGGGCATTTTGCTTATTAAATTTTAAATTTCGATTAATGCGATGGATTTATAGAAAATATAATATAAAGAGTAATCGGGGCAAAAATGAGGAAAGTGAACTAAAATTAATAAAAGCCAAAAGGGAAATAAATCCGATAAAATTAACAATAGTATTAATATTTTTGACCATTCCCGAAAGTCTTCAATTAACCACTATTACCGCTCAGGAAGAAAAATGTGTTGTAAATAAAAATAAAGAGCGGACATGCTTATTTGAAAAAGTGATTGAGTTAAATTTTCTACCTAGGGAACAAGAAATCAAAATATTATTTGAGGATCACGCTAACAGACCAGCAGGAATGATAAATTTAAAAATATTAAACGCGGAAGCACGCTGCGCAAAGAAAACAAAATTTTTTACAAGAGAATATGAAATGAATGTAATGAGTGTTAAGAGATGCCCAGAAACAGGAAGTTGTAAAGGTAATAAATGCGCGGAAATTAAAGTAAATGAAACAATATTAGAATTAGAAGCAGTCCAAAACTTTCCGGGGATTACAGGTTGTGTCGAAGGTATGAATAATTGGCCAATGACAGGATGTTTCTATGCTACAGCTCCATGCACTTTTTATAGGTACTATGCAAAACCTATAGGAAACGAAATTTTTGAAGTCTTTGAATGTGAAAAGTGGGATATCGCATTAAACTTAAATGTTTCATTAACTAAAAATGACGGAAAGGGAGAATTTATAAGCGAAAGTTTTGAAGTAAATTTAATACCCCAATTTATGAAAGAATGGAATAAATTAAAAATGGTTTTAAATGATTTAAACATCCCTCCCACTCCTACACTAGTCAAACCTTTTATAGCCAATAATCGCGCTACAGCCATTATCGATTTTGAAAAAGAGCATAATCTTAGGAAATTTTATTGTAAAACAGCGCAAGAGGCGAGAGAATTTATAAAATGTAGTATAGCGTATAAAACCTGCGATTGCCATTTGGCCAACGATATAGCCGCGTGTACTTGTCAAGATGGGAGAAAAATATCCCAATTATTAAGAGGGGACCAAACTTTACCCTTTGAACACAACGGTCTCGTTTTTAAAACAAAAAACTCTGAAGTAATTTTTAATCCTGACCTAGCTTCCGCAAAAATGGAAGTTAGAATTGAAGGAATGTTTTTGCGCACAGAAATTGAATTAAATAGTTGTAAAGTCCAATCCGCGTCAATAGAAGGCTGTTACAAATGCGTTAGAGGGGCAATATTAACATTACAATGCAAAACAGATTTTGGGAAAAACCTAGGGTATATAACATGTCCTAGCTTAAAAACTGTTGTGATTTGTGATCCTAAAGGAACCAAGAGAATTATTTCAGTCCATTTAGAACATTCTAATATCGATGAAAATTGTGAAATCCATTGTCCCAGTTCAAACTTTAATTTTCAGTTAGTTGGAACATTAGCCCTGGCGAGCGCGGAGAAAGCAGATATTTGGATAAAAACAAAAACAAATGAAACAAAATTCGGAGAAATAAATTTACCGAGCATATTGGACACGCTTTCTTTCTTTTTTAACCCTCTGCACATCTTAATTTTTATTGCAACAATAATTTCCTTACTTCTACTAATCAACTGCATCCTACCAATACTCTTTCGCTTAATTCTAATTTCTGTCTACAAATTTTGTTTCCGCCGGAGTGTCGGGACTGGCCCGACTTAATGATGTTTCATAATATTATATTTTTAATATTTTTTAACAAAATTCCAATTTCTATTTTTATTATTATTTCATAATCTTTCCGATGATTCTTTTCATGTTTCTTCCCAAATAATTCATATTTTTGATATTCCAACTTAATCATACTTTTAAAACAATTCTTGTTTTCACCCTTCTTTAAAAGCAAATTCTAATGCCCCAAAAATATCTTTTTCCTCTTCACTTTTAATTTTAAGAATAAAAATCTTCCCCCAAAAAAATTATTAAAACTTTTAAACTTTGAGAATAAATATTAAAATTTTACGTCTTTTCGAATTTATTTTAAGTCGAAATTTATTAATTTCGACAACTAGAAAAGGAAAAGAAAATAATTTTAGATAACCAACTTAAAATCAAAACAAAAAACACTTTAAGACTTGTTGTTGTTTTATTAATGTGTTTATGTTGTGTTTATACATTAAACGGTTGAATGAATTAAATATAAGGGGGGAAGGACATTTTTGCGCAAGCCAAGGCTAAAATTAAAAAAAAAAAGGGGGGGGGGTGGAAGGAGAGAACTGGTCGAGTGATGGCCGCTGGTCAACAATTATCAAGTAAATCTCCTCCTCTCCCCTCCTTTTAAACATCTTTTCCCAAAATCTTTAACGTAAAGTCGAATCGCTCAGCTGTCCAAAAAAAGGAGAGGGAAGAGAATGTAAAGCTAGAAACATTAAAATCCCCTCATCCTCTTTTTTTGCTAATTTTTTCTTCATTTTCCCATCAGCGCTAGCGATCGATTTGCTTTGATCTTAAAAAGAAAAACAGCCAATTTGCATTTTCCGCGTGCCTGTTTTTGAAGAAAAGGGAAGTTTTGAAAAAGAATGTGAAAACCCCTTCAATGATGACCTCTAAAAATAGATTGGAAGAATCTTTCTTTTTATTTTCTGTTTTTTTTCCACATCCCTACACCCATTTAAAAGAATTTTTAGAAAAGAAAAACCAATCGAAAATAATTGAAAGGAAATTGTGACAAAATAAAAAGAGAAAATTTAAATTTTTTTTATTTTAAAATTAAAATAAATTAAACCTTTCCAGAAAATATATAAAATTTAAAAAAGTTTTACAAAATTATCCAAACATCTGAAGATTCCTTTTTCTTCAGACAATTTTTTTCCATTTAATTTTTTCAATTGTTCTTTAGGCAATTTATCAAAAATTAAAAATCCGGCAGCACGTTCAATTGCCTTAAATAATTTAATTTTAAATAAAAAAAAATCAAAAATTACATCAAGAGGAGAGAAAAATTCACTCAAAGGTTTTTCATTGGGTATGGGTGCATTTGGCATTAAATAAACCTACAAATCAATTTTTGAAAATAAATTATTTATAACCTCCAATTCAAATTGATCTTTTATTTTTTCGATTAAAACAACTTTGAAGAAATGAGTGGGCACAGCAACACGATTAGCGCCAATAACCTAAATAGCAAAAAATTATCAAAAAATAAAAGAAAAAAACCTTATATTTTATATAAAAATGCCCATCTTCTTCTTGATAAGGCAAATAAAGAGGACCTGAACAAACATAAACATTCAAGCTATCACGGGCAATTTGTCTAAAAAATAAAAAAATATTTTTTAAATAATTTTTTACAAACCTAACATGTTTTTCCAAATCATTCCATTTATCTCTATTAAATCCTTTACCAACTTGTGGTGTCATATTTGTTAAAAAGAAAGTTTGTTCCATTGTTAATTGTCTACTACGATGATTTGCTGCGGCTGCCAAATGTCCACGATCATAACCACTCCTCTTAATTATTGAAAAATGAAAACAAATTCTGTCCTTATAAAACTAAAAATGGATGAACTAAAATCAACAAACCAAACCCTTATCAACTAATGAAATTTTGTCAAATTATTTTAAATATTACATACTTTATAATCTTCATTTTGTGATTGAAAATATGGATGAATAGAAGTATCTGGTCTGAAAATACATTTACTTCTGTCAACATCTGGATTGTAAGCGATAACATCCTTTGTAAGATGTTCAATAACCCAATGAGCGACTCTATTCCTTCGATCATAGCTGACAATAAAATCCTTAATTTTTAATATTAGGAATTTACAGTAAATATAATATCTAAACTGACTAAAACATTAAAATAATTAACCTCATAAGTTCTCAAATTATCAAATCCTGGATATCCAAACCGCATAATTTCAGCTGCACGTGATGGCCCTTTCCGAAATTCATTAACCATATTACTCTTTTGTGGTTGCTTCACTTCAACAGGGCCCGAGGGCAGAGGTGTAACTTGTGGAGGTAAAGCAACAGCCGTTCCAGCACTATCAGCGAACACACGCCATCTCCTCCAAAAGTCGTTTTTTGATTCATTTGATGAACAATAGTTACCAGAAATAAAACCCAAAGAAGCCGCTCCAGCAGAAGACGCCAAAATTGATGCGTAAAAGGTTGTTTTATTCATTTGTAGCTGCAAAAACAATGAAATTAAAATAATTAAGTGGATAAATTAAAATAGGTATATAAAATAAAAATTAATTTGTAAAAGAATTTGGTAGTTATTTTTCAGTTTTTTTCAAATTCCTCTCCTATAAATGGTCAGAGAGCGTGATTTTTTCAAATTTATTCCTTTATCTGAACAAACGACGTACGATATTACAAAACTCGAAAAAAATTCTAAAAGACAAATGATGCTTCAACCATTTATAATATTTTTGAAAATGAGAGAAATTTTGGCGTGAAAGGTACAGAATTTGCTTAAAGAAATTTACTAGCACGTAAAATTTAAAACAAAAAAATTGAATAAAGGAATGAATACAAAATTATTTTTAAATTAAAGTTTCATTTTAGAATAAAATATTTAGACTTTTCAAGTTAAATTTCAATAAAAAAACAGAGAAGTCACAGAAAATTAAAGAAAAGGTCAGACTTATAATATTAAAAGAAAAACTAGAAAAAGACATTCTAACACAAAATACCCAAACATTAAAGATTTACAATTTAAAAATGCCTTTTTCTTTAAATTTATTTTCGGAAACCAGAAAGTTGTCTTCAACAATTCGAGGTCTTCTTTAAACAATATATTTAAATTTTGTATGTATAAATCCCCCAATTAAAATAAAAAATCTTTTCTAATTTAAGCATCCTCGTCTTGAACCATTATATTAGCAGAATATTTCAATCCACATTCAGCAAAAGTTTTAATTGCAATTCCATTTTCCCCAACAACTTCACCATTTTCTTTTTGCTCAAATTCGTTTAAATACCAGTCAGGAGCACAATATAATCGAGAAAAAGGAAAATTAATAACCAAAGAGAAATGTTCAGGACATTCAGGATGAATAAATACAGCATTGAAAAGACGCTAAAGAAAATTAAAAATTTAAATTAAAAAAATAAAAAAACTTCAAGACTATCATTTTGTCGAAAACGTCGTTCAGCATTTACTCCATTTGGGAATGTGATACGAATTCGAATAATTTCAGATTTGGGATCAGACTCTAAAATTGCTTCATCCAAATTTTCATTAGCTTTAATTTCCTCTCGTTTTCTAAAATAAAATAAATAAAAAATTTGATTTTTAAAAGACTACCTGCAAAGTCTTTCTGTTCGCGCTCTAGCTCTCTCTGCAGCCTCTTTAACACGCCTTTCTTCGAGAAGACGTTGCTGTTCGAGTTGCTTACGTTCTTCAGCCTTTTGTCTGTCAATAGCAAGTGCACGGTTATATTCATTTTGTTGTTCATTCATTAATCTAAATTAAAATTATTTTAAAATTAGTCTCTCTTTCTTTAAAAATAAACATTCTATCCTGAACAACATTGACAAAATCACGCTGTTGCACATTATTACGTTCCCTATTTGCAATTGCTGGAGGAGTAGGCGGTCCGACCAAAAAATGATCTGAAAGTATAAAAATTTGCAATTGAAGTAAAAAGATCAAAAACTTACAAAAAAAGTTAATACATTCAGAAAATGTCCAATAAAATAGTCGGAAAGGTACAAGAACTAAAGCTTTAAACATTTCAATCCAAGTAAGCTGACGAGGAGGAGCTCGTTGAACAGGAAGCTGTCGCGGGGCACCAGATAAGTTTTGATTCAACAGAGCACGCATTTCATCATTAAATTCATCAGAAAGAGGCGAAGGCAGGCGTGGACGACGATGACGAAGTAGTTCCTCTTGAAGTAATTCCTCATGATTTTCATTATTTTGATTTTCGAGAATCTCTGGATGATCGCGAGACTGCAAAAAAATTAAAAGAATAATTTAAACATGTTTTAAATTTTACAAAGAAAAATTGATGAATAGCAGCCTCCAAATCGCCCCCAGATTCCTGTAATAATTGCTCGGCTGTTTCATTATCAATACCACAAATCTCCTGAAAATTCAAAAGGATTATTTCATAAAAGAAAAAAAACCTTAAACATAAAAATATTCGAATGTTCATTATTATTTTCTAAAGATTCTCCATTCTGTTGAGCACCGATATTGTTTATATTGTTATCATTTAAATTATTTTTTGAAGGTCCAGGAGACTGTGATGTATTTTGAATTTGATCAGCCATCTTCTAGAAGAAAATCTTAGAAAATAAATTTAAAGAAATTAAAAAAGAACACGAAATCAATCAAATATGAGAGTTGACTAAACTGACATTTACGTAGGGAACTGCAAATCGACTTTTTCTTAAGGAAAAAAAGTCGTTTCAAAAAAATCTACAATTATTCGCGAACGACTTTTTTTAATAAACAAAACGCCAGAACTACGTAAATATCGATGTTTTACGCCAAACGATTGCGAAACGACTTTTTTGTATCTCTTTTTCTCTAATTTTTCATTATATTTCCTTTCTCTTTTTCTATTAATTTTCGTCTCTCTTGTTTTGTGCAGTCCATTTTTCTTGGAATCCAAAAACTTTGTAGGGCCATAACTTCCTTTATTTTTGTCTGTTCGAATTATTTTTGGCACCATTCGAAACAGCTCGAAAAGCTCCATCGAATGAAACATCAAACTTACAAAACATACCAATTTTGTATGTTTTGAATAATTAAAAGAAAACAATAGAAAAAAACGAAGAATTGATAAAAAAAAATTATTATCTACTTGATTTGGGGTCGCTTTAGTATATTCCCACAGATTTTCCAGCGAAGATTCTGTTGAACATTTTCTAAAGAACATTTTCAAATGTAGTCGAATCTTGACTCTAGGCTTTTCTTGGGCTTTTTCGGGCTTAGGGGGAAGTTAAAAACAAAATTTCAATAAAAAAATGAGACAAATAAACAATAATTTATCAAAAAAACTAAAAGCCAATGTCTCGTTTCACTCATTAGATTTGTGGCCCTAAAGAGGGCCGTTTGGGTTGTGGTCTATTCCATCTAAGACTGCAATTCAAAGGTTGCCAGGCAGAATCACTTCAACAGCAAATCGCCCGAGCACGTCGTTGTAACACTTAGAAAAATGAATTAAAAAATTGAAAAAATTTTAAAAAATTCCAAAAAAATAAGATTTAAAAAACAACCTCTCCTATTGTTTCCCCATTGTTGCAGCCGTAGGATGGAGTTCGACACACATCAAACCCGGAAAGTAATTTACCCACACACATTTAACCCGGAAAGTAATTTACCCACAAATTATAATGCACCGAAAAACAAAATAACCTGATAATGGTTGCTGCTCCAAATGTCGTTGATGGTAAGTGTTTGCTTCTGAAAATTCACTACTACCATTAACAATAAGACTTCCAAATGTTGTACTAGGAGGCTAATGAGACAGGCATTAATTCTACAGCTTCAAAATTTCAATTTTTCTGCAATTTTCCTTCAAATTTCCTTTCCTACCTCCAAAGCCTTAAAAAAACTTTTGTAACCCCTAAAAATAAAAAAAATGAAATCCAATTTACAAAAAACCTCCTTACAAATTGAGAGACTGCACTGAACGAAAATTAATAGAAAAAGAGAAAGGAAATATAATGTGAAATTAGAGAAAAAGAGACACAAAAAAGTCGTTTCGCAATCGTTTGGCGTAAAACATCGATATTTACGTAGTTCTGGCATTGTGTATTAAAAAAAAGTCGTTCGCGAATAAAAGTAGTTATTCGCCGCGAATCGACGAAAAAGTCGATTTGCAGTTCACTACATTTACGTTAGCAATTACGTTACAAAAGTTACCAAATTGACATAGATAAAAAACATTTTGCCAAATCGACGAATTTAGCTTATTTAAAAGTTGGATATTTTCATCTCGAGATTTATTTATTTAATGTTTTTTCTGTTTTGCTCAACTCTTAAATTGACTATATTGATAACATAACTTTGTTTAATAATTTTTCATTTTTAAAGTTAATTTTTAGTCTTACTAAATTTAAAATATTTAAATGTATACTGAAATCCGTGAACTTATAAATTTCCTTGCTCGTTACTTTCATTTGCGTATTCCTCGTTTAAGGGTATTAATTCTTTTTTATAAAATCCTATTTAATTTTTAAAGATTGGTATGTTCTGTGAGCATATGGCCAACAATTGCTTATTTCGTTTTCAGCCTTATTGGAATATCAACATACCGAAACAACGTTTGTTTTAATAAAATTTTTTTCTTTCTGGTTAAAAAAAGTTACAGTTGTATAAAAACTCAAAAAGTTGAGACGATGTATTCTTGATAGTTCTGAAATTTTTAAGTTTCAATGCTCCAGTATAAATAGAAAATAACAACACTAGCACTTCTAAATTTTTTGTGAATTATTTTCAATTTTTGTATATTTTAAGATGAAGAACAACGTATTATTCGTATTTCGCGTACATTTTGTGACGAGACTTTTACTAGTGCTGCGAATTCTGTTGGTTTAATGCTCGAAGAACTGTTAAATTGCTTGCCAGGTATTTTTTCTTTTCTTTTTCTTTGATATAGTGATTGGGGAATGTGAAAGAAATTTGTCTTTTAATGTGACAAAAAATTACCTGGAAATATTTGTTTAGAAAATACCCACATATAATGTGAATTTTGTTTATAAAATGCCAAAATCCTCTTGAATTGACTCAAAATTAATTTTATATTTAAAGAACATATTATTCTGTATGTTAATCCTGGCGAAGTGTTCTACTGTAGCTGTGACTATTCTCCACCAATTCCTATTTGGCTTGGCTCTGTTAACGAAGATCTTAGCTATAACGAGCAAAAAGTTGATGGTCATTCACTGATTCCTCCGCCGCCACTGCCGACCAGAGGTAGGGTTATTTCGATGTTTCGACAATTCAAATATAAGTAGATCTTCATCTTTCAATTTATTAATCTAATGTCTTTATTTTTTAGTCCCGCCTTTGCTTCCAACTGGAATGGATTTTACTGCTCTTGATTGGCGTGTTAACTTATCTTTGGTTTCTCCGAGAGAGCTGGGTTATGAGTACACAAATCCGGTATTAATTGTTTAATTTATTAAATTAAACAATCATTCCTTTTTCCCTGAGTTATAACGGGCTGAGTGAATGACACAACATTAATGTGATTAGCCACATCTTGAGAAGGCTCTAGCAAATTGAATAATCCAATAACCTCCAACAAACTGAGAAAACTTATTAAAATCTGCCTTTACCGTGTATAAACAATTTTAGCATTAATTTAGAGGGGAAGGGAGTGACTGAAATGGAAAGTACTAGAATGTTATTGAAAATTAAAAATAAGAAACTTTAAAATAAAAATTTAAATAATTTTTTCAGTTTACTGGTTTTCGCATGTTTCGTTATGTTTTGCCTGGTGCACCAAACTTTACAGTTGAGACCTTTGCAATTACTCGTTTTGGCTCTTTTCGTAAACGTCCAGAACATGAAAAGAAATTTGTTGATGCAATTAAAAATTTTGTTAATTCTGGGAATGTTAAGGGGGGAGGAGGGATTACAACAATTGAAAGTAATTCTGCAACTACAACAACATCAACATCTGCTGCTAAAAATTGTGGAATTTGGAGTTCTAGTAATGAAGGTCTTCTTTGGATGATGGCAGAAGAATTGAAGCAACTTAATTTTGAAGATAGGGAGAAATTTTTTTGATTTAATTTAAAGTAAATATCTAATATTTAATTATTGTTATATATAAGTGGTTGATTAAATAACAGTTTTTGGTCTGGGTTTTAAAGAAATTTACGGGTTTTGATAAAAAAATTGTCATAAGATATCTTTCTTCTATTATATTTTTCTTAACTTTTAAACAGCATAATATTTTATTACAGCGTTAATTTTACACAAGGCATAAATGAGGTAAAAATGTTAATTTTTGGCATAATTTTATATTAACACACAAAGCACTAGAATAGAAAATTGTAAAACCAAAAATTTTACACGACTCTCGCCTCTATTTTATATCCTGTGTCTTTAGAGTCAGCAGTATTTTTTCTCAAATATTTCCAAATCTTTTTATCTAGTGTATTAAAATTTTCTTAAAATATTAATTTAATTTTTTAAATAATTTTTAGAATGTTTTTAAAAAGAATTACTTTATTTCCTCAAAAACATTTTTATTTCTGTTTTCGTCAACTACATTTAAGTAATAAATTAGAATATGGACGTTATCCATATTTTAATATTCACAAAAATGTTACTGATCCAAAGAGACAAGATCCTGATTATTTTGAAAAGGAGGCGGAGAAATTGCCTTTAGGTTTGTTTTTTAATTTTATTTGAAATATTTGAGAATCAAAAAGGTTTCAGTTCTCAAATAATTATATTTTAATTGAAAAAATATTCAGATGCTCGATATATCGATCAATTAAAGAATCTTTGGGAGGAGAAAATTGGAAGTGAACGGCAATTAATTTTTAAAGCTCAGGACAGTTTAATTGGTAATTCAACAGATTATGGACTTCCAAAATTAAATTTGGATGAACCAAAACTTGATTATAAAGGAATTGATGCTTTAGAGACTGCACCTGAAAGTGTAAAGAAAATATTTAGTTTGGGGCATGCATCTTCGAGAGAAATAAATATGGCTTGGAAAATGTAGTAAATATTTAATTTTATTTAAATTGGTAAATTTTTAGGGAAATGATAAAGAAAGTTCGCAGAGATGAATTGGATGGGAAGTCATTACCTGCAAAAAGTAAATAGATTTTTAATTAAAATAAAGGACGAATAAATATTTTGACTAAAAAATTTTTTTATAAATTTTTAATTAATAATTTAGTTGGTTGGGCAACCGCCACAATCCGCAATTGGAATCGAGTTTATGCTGAATTTGAAGAGAAGCGTAATACTTCTAATCGAAAACCTAAATTACCTCGAGCTACCTGGATTTCTCATCCATTATATTTGTTAATAAATCAGCGAAGGAAATGGTTAAGATTATTAAGAGAACAAAGCGAAGAAGACTTTCAACGTTGTATTAATGAATTGAAAATTTCTTATATTATACAAAAGGAACCAGAACACGTGAAAACGAGAAAGGTTTTTTTATTTTAATAGGATAACAAATGTAACATAATCCTGTAGACATTATCTTGTTTCGAGTGTTAACCTTTTTATATTTTAAAACCTTTTCATTTCTAATACCATAATATCAACAACTGAAAATACCAAAAGTTTATTTTCGAGTTTCCAAATCCTCCCTCTAAAATTTTTTTCGATTTCATTAAAATATTTTTAAAGGTTTGGTCTGAAGTACAACTTAAACGACGAATTGCTCTTGAAAAAGAAAAACAATTAGAAGCACTTCACATCCGGCTTAAAGAGAATCGAGAAGAAAAATTGCGTTCAATTAACGACGAAGCTAATTTATTAAATAAAGAATTAAAACAAATAATGGAAAGACTCCACCAATTAAATATTATAGAAAAGAAAACTGTTGCAAATATTGTTGGGGAATATCAACCAAATTATGTAGGTGAAATGACTGAAATTGTTGATAATTCAAAATTATTTGGTTAAAAATTATTTTTTTTTTGTTTTTATTAAAAAATTTAAATCACAACTAGTAAAAGGAAATAAAAAAAACAAAATTTATTAATTATACCATTCATCTATAGAAATACATTTCGTGTAAAAATACTTTTCCCTTAATAATATTTTTTAAACAATTCTCTATTAAACCCTCTTTTAATCAGCTTCTGTAATAAATCCAACAGTTTTTTGTTGTTGCCTTTTCCTCCTTATACCAGCTTGTTTTATAGCAGCTGCATTAGGTTTCTTCAATTTTTCACCTTTTATTACACGTTCAACTTCTTGTTTTGTAAGTGTCTCATATTCCAAAAGCCCTTCAGCCAATAAATGATGTTCAGTCTTAAAAAGAATTTTTTGTTTGAAAATTTTCTATTAAAGAAAACCTTGTATTTAATTAACAATTGTTTTGCCCGTTCATAACTTTCTTTCAAAAGACGTTTAATTTCTTCATCAATTGCATTATTTGTTTCTGGTCCAAAACTTAATCCCTCCTCTTCATTTGATGTAAAATCTCTCAAACCAACATGCTCACTCATTCCATATGTTTTTACCAATCTTTCAGCGATTTCTGATGCTTTTCGCATATCAGAGGCAGCCCCTGTTGTGACCATATCTTCACCAAAAATTAATTCTTCAGCTACTCTTCCGCCCATTAAAACATCAAGTTTGGCAAGTAATTGACTTTTTGTATATTGAAGATGGTCTTTCTCTGGGAGATGAGCTGTCTAAAGAAAAACAAAAAAAATTTTTAATTTAAAAATATTTTACAAGTCCAAGTGATTCTCCGCGTGGAGTAATGGTAACTTTATGAATTGGATCAGAATGTTTTGTAAATATTCCAACAATTGTATGACCGGCCTCGTGATAAGCTTTTTAAAAAATAAAATTTAAAAAAACATTCATAAATTTACCAGTATTTCTATTAGCCTCTTCATCTGCATGTAATCCTTTTAAACGTGCTGGCCCCATAAGTATTCTATCACGCGCTTCATCCAAATGCTTCATTGTTACACGCATGGCACGCTCAGTTGCGGCTTTTAATGCTGCCTGATTGACCATATTCTCAATATCAGCGCCGGTGAAGCCAGTAGTTCCTCTAGCTAATGTAGTGACATCACAATCAGCTGAATGAATTATTTTGTCGAGATAAAGCCTAAATAAAAATATAAAATTAAACCCAATTTAGTTAAAAGTCAAATTTATTGTTAGTTTATAGGTATATTTTACATTGGATCCCTTCACTTGGTTATTTTCTATCAAGTCTTTTTCCAAATTTAACAAAATAGATATGTATCCCCATATAATAGTCTTTTGGATAATTTAAGTTGGACAAACACAGATTTGAAAATAACTGAAAAGAAAAAGGAACCTTTTTTAGTTAGAAGGGTAAAATTTTCACTAAAATAAAGCTAAAACAAGTTCAAAAAGAATAATTAAACATATTAAAAAGGTAAACGAACTGAAAAATATCCTCTCTCCCAGCTAAATCAGGCCTCGAAACTTTAATTTCCACATCAAAACGTCCAGGTCGTGTCAAAGCAGAATCCAAATGGTCTCTTTTGTTTGTGGCTCCAATAACAATTATACCCTCATTTTGGACAAAGCCATCCATTTCAGAAAGCAATTGATTAATTGTTTGATTTGCATATGGATGTAGAGTACTTGACGTGCGTTTAGAGCCAACAGAGTCAATCTCATCAATAAAAACGACACAAGGAGCGTGCTTACGAGCTTTCTCTAATTAAAACATTTTAAATAAAAAGAAAATTTAAAAAAACTTACTAAACAAATCTCGAACTCGTCTAGCACCTTGTCCTACAAGCATTTCATCAAATTCTGAACCAGAAGCATGCTAAAATTATATTTTAGTATTATCCCTAAAATATTTTTAAAATTATATACAAAGAACGGGACGCTCGCTTCCCCAGCAACAGCACGTGCCAATAATGTTTTGCCAGTACCAGGATCACCAATCAACAAAACACCTTTAAATTAATCCATAAAATTAAATATATAAAAAACAAAACCTTTTGGAAGTCGAGCACCAAGACGAGTATAACGTTCAGGATTGCGCAAATATTCAACAATTTCTTCAATTTCCATTTTTGCTTCATCAACTCCACAAACATCATCAAAAGTAACATCCACATCTTGTTCCATAGCAAACATATCAACACCAAAATCAAAAATTAATCCCTTGCGGGTAAACATTCTGTAGACTTTAAAATAAAAAAAAATATTCAAAATTTTATTTTAAATTAAACCAAGATATCCAGCGAAAGCAAAAGAAGTAAAAAAGAAAAGTCTGCCAAAAGTATAAAAGAAAAGTCTGCCAGGCCTACAAAAAATTTTAAATTTATTTTTAAAAAAAATATTTAATATAACCCAGGTTTTCCATCTTCTTTATGTCCACCAGCAAATACACCTCTAATGAAGCCATCCTGTGATAAAATTGTATTAAAATGTAAAGCAGAAAAATTTAGGGGAAATATTCATTTTATTCAAAGAAAAACACATCTAATAGTTATTCTATTTTTTTAGAAAAATAAAAATTTCTCCTTCACTTTTGCCATAATTTTTGTCTACGGTGCTTAAAAACCAAATTTAACTTGTTGGCCGTCAGAAAATCCCAAAAATTTAAAGAAAAGCAAAATTAAATATCCATATAAACCGTTATAAACGCCGAAAAGTCAAAGTCAAGCACTCCTTCCATCACAACTCCCTCTTAAAATCTTTTGACTTACATTATAAGTTTTCTTTTCAGATTCATCCATTTTTTCAATCATAATTTTATAATCATCATAAGCATCTGTTTTGTGAGACTAAAAAGAGAGAGAATTTAAAATTTTTGTTTAGTTTTCATCAAATGTTAGATTAATCTACAAATCTTTGAAAAATTCTTCACGAAAAATTTAATCTTTTAGCGTGTAAATTATTTAATATTTATTTAGGTTCTAGTTTAGGACATGCGTCCCATGACAGTGTATGCGTCCCAAAAAAGTGTTTTTTGGGACGCATGTCCTAAACTAGAGCATTTATTTAATATTAATTATTTAATTAAAAAAATTTACCGTGAATAATTTTACTCGATCAAGCCATCCTTTACTTTCTTTATCTTCAACATCTTTTTTGATACTAAAACCCGTAGCCGTTTTACGTCCACTTTTTAGTGCTCCACTATGTAGTTGACGGAAACACAAATAATATTGTTTTTGTGAAAGTAAAACAGGCAATACCAAACGACGAGATGACATAGTACTTACTATAAGAAAAAATAAAATAAATTTTTAAATAAAAATTATTTCTGAAACAAAACATTCAAAAACATTTATTTTTTAAAAATATTTATTAAAAATTTATGTAATATTTAAATGATATAGCGGATTTTAAAAACACTAAAAATTATAAAAATTTTTCACGTTAAAATAACCAAAAAATTCAACAAAAAACATCAACCTCCAAAAAAATTATGAAATTAGAAGCAAATAAAAAAAGTAAAAGAGAAGGACAGCAAAAGAAAGAAATTAGACATTTTGCCAAAGAAATTCCGTTAATTTATATTTTAAAAAATCTTTATAGTAATTTGGTTAATCTCGAAAGAAAAGCAAAATAATAATATAGAAATTTAATTTTTAATAGAAATTAGTTAAAATAAATAATAAAAATATTTAATTAATTAATTAAATCCATTCTTTTCAATTTTTACAAAATTAAAACATTTAATTGGCAATGATTTGTTTATATTATTTAATTGATTAAGTTCTTCCTAAAAAATAATTTTTTTTTAATTAAAAATCTTTTTCTCTTACTTTTAATAAATAAATTTGTTTATTTATTTCTTCTTTTTCTTCGAAAGAATTTTCCAAATTTATTTTTATATTTTCAAAATTTTCTTTATTTAAAGAATCCTCCAATTCATTTAATTCTTCTTCAAGTTTATTTAATTCAAAATTATTTGGAAAAGAAGAAGAAGAATCTTTAAATTTAAAATTTAATTATTTAAATTTAATATTTAATATTTTACTTAATTTATTCAAAAGATCATTTAATAATTTTTCTTGTTCATCAACTATTTTTTCTTTAAATATTTCTGCTAATTTTGTTTTGTTTGTAGAATCAGAAAAAACTTTAAAATTAAAAATGTTTTTAATTTAATATTTAAATAAAAATATAAACAAATCCCCCCCCCCCTCTCCCTACCTTTTTCCAATTTTTCTCTATTATTTACAGCCCTTTCCAACAATTCATTATTTTCCTCCTCTTCTTTTTCAATTTCATTTAAATTAATTTTTAAATTATTTAAATTCTCTTCCATTTTTATTGTTTGATTATTTAATTGATTAATTGACTTTTAAAAATTAATTATTTAATTTTTAATTTAATTTAAATACCTTCTTTAATTTTTCAATATTTTCGAAGGCTTTATTTGCCCAATTCAAAGCTTTTTTTGTTTGTTTTTGTGTTCTGTTTAAATGTTTTTCTGCTAAGTTTAATTTATTTTCTAATTTTGTTAAATTTTTGTTTAAAATTTCAGAATTTGCAATTTCTTTTTGGAAAGTAGTTTTTAATTGAAATTGTTTGGTTTTGTTGTTTAAAGATGGATCTAAATATTTAAAAATTAATTAATTAAATTAATTAATTGGGATGTTTTTAGACATTTAATCCCCCCCCCCTCCTCCCTTCCCTTCCCTTCCCTTCCCTTTCCTCCCCTCTCCCCTTCCCCTATTAATCCCCCCTCCTCTCCTACATACATACTTTTATTTAATTTAATATTAAAAATTCCTTCAAACCATTCAAAACATTCCAAATATTTTTTGTCTGATTAAAAGCATTAACAGCCAAATTAAAATAATTTTGTGATTTATTTAAATAAACATTTATTTTTTCAAAAGAATTATTTCCTCCTCCTTCAATTAATTTATTAATTAAATTAATTTCTTCATTTGATTTATTAATTAATTGAGAATTTTCTTTAATTAAAATATTTAATTTAAATTCATCAAAAGAAGAATAATTAAAATAATTATTTAATTCATTAAACTTTAAAAATAAATATAAATTAAAAATTAAAAAAAATTAAATACCAAAATATTTATTTTATTTATTTTAATTGTTTGAGGTATTTGAATTATTTTAATATTAGCTAATAACAAAATAGATTGATTTAATGAAGAATTTACTTGTTCTGACAATTTTTTAGATTTCCAATTAATTTGGGAAAATTCCTTTAAAAAATAAATTTAAATAAAATTAAAAGAAATATAAATACTTTCTCTGTTTTGTTTAAATTAAAAGAAAGATTAAATAATAATGAAGATGAAGAAGATTGAGTAGAATAAGAACCTTTAAAAAATTTAATTAAAATTTATTTCCTTTCCTCACCTCCTTCCCCTTCTTCAACTTCATTCAATGCTTGTTTTGATTGTTCTTTAATTTTTAAAGTAATTTCTGAAATTTCCAAAAATTTATTTTTAATTATTTTTGTCAAATTATTTCCTTTTTCTGCCATTTTAATTAACCAAAATTCTGCTATCTATTTTTAATTTTTAAAAATTAATTTTTCTTCTTTCAAAAATAACCTTTTGTTTATTTATTTGTGTAGAATTAATTATTAAATTACTTTTTTGTTTTAATTCAAATAAATTGTTGGAAATTAATTTTTGAAGATTTTCTTTTTTAAAAAATAATAATTATTTTTTAAATTTAAATTTAAGCTAACCTTTTTTCAATTTTAAATTTTTTAGTTTTTCTTCACTTTTGTTTAAATCTTTAAAATTATTTAAATTATTTAATTTATTAAATAATTTATTTAATAATTCTTTTGTCGACAAATAATTTTTGTTAAAAATTAAAGATTCTTCTGATTTTTTGGTTAATTTTAATTTTAAATTGTTTAAAGTTGAATTAAAAGAAGAAGAAGAGTCTTTTACCTAAATAAATTAATATATTTAATTATTAATTTAAAAATGCTAAAAGATATGCCCATATTTTCCTTTTTCATATTACAAATGGTTAAATACCTATCAGGGATGGGATGGGTTGCTCGAAACCCGACCTGGACTTTTTTCTCAACCTACACTGCGGTGCATATGTTTATGCACACTAGTTTTTTGTTCATAATTTTATGCACACTTATTCAAAAAATATGTTCTATATGGCAATCGAAAGCTCTATATGTATCTCAGTTGACATGTTTCTGCATTTTTCGAAATTCTGATATTTTCGAAAACTTTTCGACCGGTCTAACAGGTACTACATTTTCAACTTTTCGAAGAAATTTTTTTGAGGTCTGTAAAAAATATATGTGATTCTCCTCTAGATTCTACATATAATACAAAAAAATCATCCAAATCGGTCGAGATTCGACCGAGTTACGAATTTTTGAAAATCGAAAAAATACCATATTTTTGCCATTTTTCGTCAAAAAATCGCGTTTTTTTAGTTTTTCAAAAAATCATATCTCCGTTCCGGAAAAAGATATTTCTAAGCGGTTTTGTGGTAAATACTCACAAAAATATGCTTTATCAAATGGGTTTGTTAAATTTTTTCCGAAAAATTTTTCTGAGGATATGGGATTTGGTATATCCGGTAGATCCGGATTATCTCGGCCAATTTTCATTTTCATGGAAAATGCAGAAACATGCCAACTGAGATACAAATAGAGCTTTCGATTGCTATATAGAACGTATTTTTTGAATAAGATTGCATAAAATTATGAACAAAAAACTAGTGTGCATAAACATATGCACCGCAGTGTATCCCATCCTACAATTTAGAACATATAATCCAATTTATGTGCGTGTGTGATTATATTTTAATTCACTAAAAAATAACGAGTTATAAACTCCAAAATAAATTACCTACTTTTATTTTTAGTAAATTATCCATTTTTAATTTAAATTTAAGCATTTCTTCTTTTATAAAATCTCTTTTAGAAGAAATTAAAGAATAACAATCATCACATTTTTGGCAACCATTAATAGACGAATTAAAATAATTTTCTTTACAATGACTAGTAAATAATAAATAATTATTAATTTTAATTTAAATTTAATTTACTCGCAATAAATTCCCTCAACATTATTATTACACAAACATTGCCCATTTCTAATATCACAAAAGTCAACACTTTCAGAACCAATTTTATTACATAAACATTTTGTACATCCACTAGAATTTAAACCAAAATGTTTAGGGGCACACTGATCACAATTTATTCCAATAACCTTTTTTAAAGAATTTTTTCCTCAAAAAAACATTCTTCTCACCCCATTTTTACATTTACATTGCCCACTTCTTTGATCACATTCAGTAACATCTAAACTTCCTAAAGGATCACAATTACAAGGTTGACAACCATTTTTAGAAAATATATTAAAATAGCCAATTGCACATTTTTCACAACGTTTTCCAATTACTTTTAATTAATTTTTAAATTTAATTAATTTAAAAATTAAATGTATTTACCATTAGGTAAACATTTACATTGTCCATTTATTTGAGAACAACTAAATAATTTCCCTTTTTTATTTTTAATAGTTCCCAATTGATGGCAATTACAAGGAATACAATTAAATTTATTTTTATTTATTTTATCATCTCCAAATAAATAATTATTTGGAGCTTTCCAAAATCCGGGTAAACATTTCTCACAATTCCAGCCAGTTGTGTGGTGAATACATTGAAGGCATTGTCCAGTAAATAAATTCTTTAAATGTATTTTTTAAACAGAAAATAAAATTTTCTTAAATTTTAACTCCTTCCCTCTCCCCCTCCTCCTCACATCCCCCTCCCCCTCCTCCCCTTCCTCTCCTCACCCCCACCCTCCCTCACTCCTCTCCCCCTCCATTTCTCTTTTTTTTAAAAATATTTTTATTCCCTCCCCCCACAATTTTTAATTCTTACACATTGTCTAATATTATTTGGATCTATATTTCCATTACAATCACATTTTTGACAAGGTTTTCCAAATAAAGGGTGTCCAAAATAATCTTCAGAACAATATTCACAACGAGGGCCTGTATACCCTTCTGGACATTCTGTACACATTAATTGTTTGTCTAAATAAATACAGGCGCCCCCTCCAGGACAGTTACAACTAAAAATATTTTTTGGCAATTTAGAGTAAATAAACGGTTTGCAATCTTCTGATGTCCCAGTCAAAGCATCTCCATAAAATCCATTAGCACATCTTTCACAAGTATTTCCAGCTGTATTATGTTTACAATAACAGACACCTTTTTAATTAATTTTTATTTTAAATCAATTAATTTACCAGTTTCTGGTTCACACATTTTACTACCAAAAGAATGGCCGTTACATTTACAGGGAATACATTTAGATAATGGACCGGGAAATTCACGTTTAAATCCGGCTGCACAAAATTGACAAAATTGTCCAGAATAAGGAGGAGGACAATTACAATTTTCAATCCAATTGGCAGAGGAAGAATGTTGAATTACTTTAAAAATAAAATAAAAAATTCCTTCCCCTTTAATTTATACCAGAAGGAGAATATTTATTATCAAAAACGTCCAAAGCAGAATTTAATCCAAAATCAGACAAATACCCAATATCTCCTTGAAAAAACGTTGCACGTATTCTAATTGATGTTAAATTTGTTAAAATTTTAATAAAATCAGTTTCGTTTAATTGAGGATTCCACTTTTTAAATTTTAAAAATAAAATTAATTTAAATATCTAAATATACTTGATATTTTGGATTTGAATGGATTTTAAATTTGTAATAAGTTTTATTTGTAGAAATGTCTGGATTTTGTTGGGAACTAAAAGACAATGAAAGTATATCCCCTTTACTTCCAATTAATTGTAATTCTGTGCTAGTTCGGGGGGCATATTCTAATAATTTGTGATAGGAAAAATATAAATATTGACCTTTAAATAGAAGATTTACTTTAATATTTAAATAAAATAACCATAAGAGAATCGTTGATCTCCTAAATATTTTGTTGGAGCGACAAAATAAATTTTCCTTTAATTTTTTAAAATTCTTTCAATTAATTAAAAAAAAAATAAAAATTACCAGGGGCATTCTTGTTTAATAAATATTAATTTATTTTTAAAATCATAATTAACCTAAAAAATAGAAATTAAAAATATTTCCTTTAATTTAATTCAAAAGAAAAACCTTTAAATTTTTAATTTCTCCATTAGCTTCTATACTTAAAGCTTTCCAATCATCATTATTTAATTTAAAATTCGAGGAAATATTAAATTTAATAAAATTTTGTTGATTATTATTTAAATAGCAAATGGAGGAATGTCCAAAACAAAAACAGGGAAAACATTCAAAATTATTTTTGTTATTTTTAATTAAAAAATATCCGGGTTTGCAACGATCACAATATTCTCCTTCAACATTTTCTTTACAAAAACATTTTCCGTTTAAAGGTGAACAAATAGATGAATTGGAATAATTATTACATAAACATTTTCTTTAAATTGTTTTTAATTTTAAAATTTGTCAATTTTTGATGAAGATTTTTATAGGAGGGGTATCGGAGCTTTAAGTTTATAATCTTTTAATTTTTCAAAATTCCCCAAATCCTCTTGATCTCTCTTAATTTCTCTTGATTCTTATAATTTCCTCAAGATCTCCGAATCCTTTTATTCTCTAGATGTTCCCTTATTAAATGATAATGATTTTAAATAAATATGTATTTTTAAAATTAGCTTAGGAAAAATAGAGGGTAATTATTTGAGGGAGAGTAGTAGATATTTGGAGTATATAAAATACATATATTTACTTGCAACCATTTATTCCAAACCCAAAATACCCATCCAAACATTTATCACAATATTTCCCAGTTACTCCATTTTTACAACTACAAATTCCATTATTTTCATTACATTTTCCATTATTTAAAGATCCATTAATATTACAATTACAAGGTTTACAATAATTATTATTTGGAGAACGCCAATGGTTTGGAAGACAACGCTCACAATTTACACCCTTTCAAATTAAATATACAATTAATTCAAATACCTACATACCTCAGTATTCCCCAAACATTCATAACAATGTCCCCCATGTCCAGTTTCTTCAAAAAGTTTTGGATCAAAAAAACATTTATTAGAAAGTCCACTACAATTACAAGGTAAACATTCATTAGCCTCAAAAGAAGTTGCTGGCCTCCAAGGTCTATCAAAATAAAAAGGAGCACATTCATTACAATCTATTCCCCTTGTATTATGTTGACATTCACAAATCTTTTAATTAATTTTAAACAAGAAACCCCTTTCCAAAAAACCAATTTTTGAGGTAATCCTTTTCCTGTTGATTTAATACATTTATTTGCATGTCCATTACATTTACACCTTCCACCAACAGCCAAATCACTAATTCCATAATAATAAGAACTTAATACTTTTTTATTTCCAAATATTTCATCACCAAAAGTATTCATTCTAACTAAAGATATTCTTATTTGGTCAGCAGTTACCCAATCCTTTGAATTAATTCCTCCAAATATAAATACTCTTAATTACCTGTAATTCTTCACTTTCTTCAAAATTTTCAGCAGAAGGCCTTCCCTCTAAAGTAGAAAAAGCAATCCTTCCCCCAGTTAATGGAGATATATCAGAAAATTCTTTTGTACATTGGGCTATAGCTTCGTTTCCGGGAAGTATTGGAGCTTTTTCTGGTAATTTAAATGTTGAAAGACATGAACCACTTAATAAAAATAATTAAAATTTTAAATTTTAATTCCTCAAAACCACCTATAATATTGCCAAGGTATCCATTCATTTCCATTATTTTTATTTTTCTTATAAATAACAAAACTTTCAGGACGTGGAGAAATAAACTTTAAATGAACATAAGTAATCTCGAATTGTTTATTTAAATTAATTGTTAAATTAATTGTTTGGGGATATTTAATTCCTTCGGCCATTGTTTCTGATTGCCAAAATGTTGAATTCTCAGAATCTAATTTTTCTTTTTAATTCAAAAATTAAAAATTAACCAGTTAAATATTTGGGTAAATGTGCCTTTTGGGGAATATTAATGTCACAAACATCACAATATTTATTTAAACGATGCCCTGTTTGCATACAAAAATTTGTTGGAGAATATATTCCACAAGTATTTGTTACCTTTTTTTGTAATTTTTAATTTTTAAATTAATTCAAAAAACCTCAAAATTTAAATTATAAACAACATTAATAAAATGAGGGAGGCATTTTTGGGGGAAATTTGGGTTGTTATTTTGATAACAGGGAATTAAACTTGGCTGGAAATGATTTGGGTCTATTTCTGGAATTTTTTGTTGAGGTTTGTTGTTTAATTGTTGTCCAGAAATTATTGAAATTAAAATAATTAAAAATAAATTTAGAGAAGAAATAAACATTTCTTTAATTTAAAAATAAAATTAAAAAATAAATAATGATATGTATGTATAAATTTAAAATAATTATTTAAATTTAAAAATTAATTCCCCACACCTGTTTAGTAACTTTTATTTTTTTAAATTATAAAAAAACATTTTTTAGGCGGCGGATGAGAAAGGAAAACAAAGAAGTAAATATTTATTTTATTTAAATAAATGTTTTTATGCAGCTGCAATTAAATAATAAATACAAAATTAATTTTAAATTAAAGTTTTTTTGGAAAAAAAAATTAAATTTTATTTAAAATAAAATATAAATTAAAAGTAAATGAATATATATATATATATATATATATATATATATATATATATATATATATATATATATATATATATTTAGTTAACATTTAAATATCTATAATAAATACAAAAAATAATAAAAATAAAATTAAAGAAAAAAAATAAAGAAAAATGTTGGCTATGAATAATGATTCAGAAAAAAATAAAAAGATATTTTTTTAAATTAATTATTAACAAAAAAAAATTCTAAATAAAGTAAAGTCAAAATATAATTAAATAATAACTTTAATTATTTGATTGACACGCCCACAAACAGAGTGCCAGCCGAATTTTTATTAATAATAATAAAAATTAATTTTAACTTCTTTACACAATAAATAAACTTTATGATCCATTAAGTTGAAAAAAGATTCCCCTTATAGAGGGCCTTCGAATGATTTAAGATTTATTTGAATTGGATTAAACATCAAAAAGTTAAAGTCGATCAAATTTGGCTGGCACACAGTTTGTGGGCGCATAACCGATAAGTACCGAATATATTCTCTTAATTATGTAACTTAACACAATAAATAAACTTTTTAATTTTACATAAAATATTTAATTTTGTATATATATTTGGTTAATTTTTCCAAAAAATTAAATTTTTAATTTAAAAATATTTTCAAAAATATTTTCTTTTTTTTTTACTTGCCAATCATTTAAATATATTTAATTAAATAAATAACAAACCCCCCCTCTATTCTTCTTTTTTGCCTTTCTCGTTAAAAAATATATCCATCCAATATTTACATGTATATATTCTCGTCATTTCCTTAATTGAATTTTTTTGTTTTTTTCCTTTTAAATAAATTTAAATGTTTTTGGGAACGGTAGGAAAGAAAAAGAAAAGTTTTTACTTATATCTTTCAATTTTGTAGAATTTTTTTTCTTTCCTTTAGGCGACAAATTATTTTTTAAATGGCAGGAATTCAACCGTTTATAAAAAAACTAAAATTTATTTATTCATGTGTATCTTCTTTTCTCTTTTTTTAAATTTAACAAAAAATATACAAATTATTTTTTAAAAATATTTTTTAAATATTTAACTAAAATGTGTATCCATATTTTTCGTTAATTTTTCAAATTTCAACCCAAAGGAATGTTTAGACATTTATTCTTTTTTCTAATTTAGAAGGTGTTGTTACTGATACATATTTTTTAATTATGGAAACTAAAAAGGGAGTGATGATAGAAAATATGGTGGGATATTTAGGTAAATAAATAACTTGGAATTAAACGAAAATTAATTTTATGTTTTTGTTTAATTTTCCAAGTAAAATAAAACTTTGTATTTAAAGCATATTTAATAAATTAAAAAAAATTAATTAAAATTATCAATTTTTAAATATTTAATTAATTTTGTGTTTTTTGTTTTTTGGTTTATTTTAAAATTTTCACACTCACGGAAGCTGAAATTTGAGAGGTTTTTTAAAAATCTTTTTTCTTTTTTGTTAACAATTTTCCGGCATCTCCTCTCACTTTTTTTCTACTTACTATTCTTTTATTATTTAGTAATAAAAGCTCATTTTAGTCTTACAAGTGTGTATTTAGTGTATGTGTTTATTTTCACTTTTTATTCTTTAAAAAAAGTTTTTATCTGTCACACCTAAATATTTTTTAAAGGAACATTTTTTTAAAAATCCAAAGATTTTTTTAAATATAAAGAATCATCTTTTATTTTTTAAAAAATTTACTAAAATTAATTTACTTTTAAAAAATAGTTTTTTAATTATTTTTTATTTATTAAAAATTAATAAATAAAAGTATGTCATTTTTACGTCATTTAAAAAATAAGTAAATCAAAATTTAAAAGAATATTTTTTAAACTAAAAATAGAAACAAAAGAGTACTTACTTAACTACAAAAAAGACATCAAACAATAAAAATATATTTTTTCTTTATAAATTATTACGTAAATAAATTCAAAAATATTAAATACATTTAAATATTTATTTTGTTCTTTTAAATTACACAAAATAAAAATTATTTTAATTTACTTTCTTTCTCTTTTTTTAGCCAAAACATGAAATTTAGAAATTTAAGAGTCCACTAAATTATATTTACAAATATTTTTTAAATAATTTATTTTCAGAATTTTTGGGAAAAAAAACTTTTTTTTTAATTATTTTAATAGGAAAAATAAATGAAAATTAGCTTTCCTTTTTTCCAACAAAATTAGCTAAAAATATTTTTTTCTTAAAAAATAACTAAAGTAAAAAATTATTTTACATATATTTAAGTCCACTTATTTTTAATATTTTTTCTTTATTCCCTTGTGAGAGTTCAATTATTTTTTTTCATTTTTATTGACAAAAATATTAAAAGCATAAAAATAAATAAATAAAGACCTCACACATTTAAATAAATATTTAAAAAAAAGATTATTTTGAATTAAAATTAATTTCTTTTTTCCCTCCAGATTCCCATAATTAATTTAAAAATATTTTTTAGAAAATTTAAAAAAAAATGAATTTAACATTAGAAGAATTTGACGAGGATTTTGAATTTAATTTAAATAAAAATAAAGAAATTGTTAGTTTAATGAATTTACCTTTAATTAAAGCTTTATTTTTAATTTTCTATATTATTGTGTTTGTTTTGTGTGTTTTTGGTAAGTTTTTGGAAGGGAAGGGAAAGAATTAAATTTAAATAAAGGTAATTCTCTTGTACTTTTATGTATTATTGGTAATCGTTCAATGAGGACAGTTACTAATTTCTTTTTGGCTAATTTAGCTATTGCTGATTTATTAGGTAATAATTTTGAATTTAAATTTAAATTAAAAATAAAAGTTGGAATATTTTGTGTTTGTCAAAATGCTGTACATTTTGCTTTATTCGCCCATGGAACTTGGCCTTTTGGAAAACTTCTCTGTCATTTATATATTTATATTTTACATTTAATTCCAAATAGTTCTGCCGGAATTTTAGTTTATTTTTAAATTTTAATTTAATTTCTAAATTAAAAAAAAAAAGATTTTATTGTCTGTTGAACGTTTTATTGCCGTTTTACGTCCAATGCTTGTTCAACATTTAATGACTAAATCTGTAAATTAAATAAAAATAATTAATTTAAATTAAAATTAAAAGGTTTTAATTTTGTGTACTTTACTTGTTTGGACATTGTCTATTTTAATGAATATTCCTTATTTAATTGCTGTTCAATATATGGATCTGTATAATCCTGAAATTGGGCAACATTATGGAGTATAAATAAATTATTTAGAATAATCAGAGTTTAAGATTATTTTTAAATTTAAAAATAAATTACAAATTTTATTAAAACTTTAAAGAAATTCAAGAAAATTAGGAGAGTATTTGAAGGGATGTTATTTAATATTTAATGGAAAAATAGTTAATTTTTTAAAAATATTTTTAATTAAAAGATATGTACTCGTCATCATCTAATTTGGTGGGATATTAATGTACTTCAATTAGTTTCTACTGTAAATTTAATTGTTTGGTATATATTACCCCTTACTTTATTATTCTCTATTTATGCAACGATTGGGTAAATTTTTTTAATTAAAATTTAAAATTAAATTAAATTAAAGACTTGTTTTAATAAAAACAACTGAAGATGATGCTGTTGTTAGAACTTCACAAGCTTATCGAAATTTATCTACAGCCGCCCCTCCTCAACAATTATCTAATTCTTCTAATAGTACATTAATGACTAGACAAAGTTTTTATTTTAAATTAAATAAATAATGGGAGGGGAGGGGGGATGGAGGGGGATATGTATATTCTTCCTCCTGAAAGGGAAGTAAGAGAAAATGTGGAGGGTGAATATGCCAGCAATTTAAAATTAATTTTTAAAATTAATTAAATCTCATCAGGCATTGATTCAGAATTGAGCTGCGAGGCACGTGCTGGACTTAATCGACGTGCGGGAAGTTATAGCGGCGGAAATAATGGGAGAAGAAGAACTTTACCTAAAATTGAAGTTTTTAAAAAAAAATATTTATGTAAATATTTATTTTTAAAACAAAGTTGGTAGATAGTCGTCGACGTGTTATTAGACTTTGTGCAGTTATTGTATTAGCTTTTGCTTTACTTTCATTGCCTAGATATGTATATATATATTTTTAAATTGTGTTTATATTTACTATTAAAGATTTATTTAACTTGGTCTGTTTGGAGAGAAGCAAATGGTTAGAAAATTTAAAAAATAAAATTATTTTTTTAATTCAAAAAATATTTTAATTAAAGAGTTGCTAGTCTTTTTTTCCTTAAGAAAATTTTGATTAGATTTCTCAAATTTTTTTAAATTAAAATTATAATCATTAAAGCCCCACGCTGTTTAAATTGTTTATCCGCATTAATTCAACCAACAACATTTTTATTAATGTTTTTTGCTTCAGCAATTAATCCAATTTTATATGCATTTTTATCACAAAGATTTAGAGCAGCAATTAAAGATACTTTTAGTTTTGGTAAAAGTCAAGCAAAAGTAAATTTTAAAAAAATATTTTTATTTTTAAAATTCATTTAAAAATTAGCAAAAAGAGCAAATGTTACAACTTTTACGTAGTCACCGGTATTTTTTAAATAAAAAGAAAATAATTATTTTATTTTAAAAAAAAGTTTATCAACACAATTAGAAAGGGATGTTTTTGGAGAACCAATTCAACAAGCTACAAGAACAATGAGCTGTACAAGTTTACAACAACCAATTAATGTAAAAT